TACGCATTTGCTCCCTCATTGGCAAATGCTTTTTTAGGCCCGTATGCACGTACATCCTCGCTGGGCAGGGAAGGGTATCCGAGAATGGACGTGTTATATTTCTTTGAGAAATCTGCATTCTTCTTCTTTCGCCTGTGTTATAAAAGGCCGGGCATAGTTTACGCGATTTCAGCCGCTACGCGATTTGGCAATTCGCCAGAAGTCTCCAGATCCAACGCTAGCAAATTGCACATGATAGTGTGTGAACTTACGTGGATTGCTGAATTGCCCAATCTTTTGTACATTGTAAATATGCTTACAATGAGCTATGGGCAGCTGGAAAATTGCCAAATCGCGTCGCAACTGAAATCGCGTGAAGTATGCCCGGCCCTTGAAGGTTCTCATTTTCTGATACTTGAGCATAATGGACGGCAATGTGACCCCCTGAAACTTCTCAAGGAATCAACCCCTATTTCCAAAGTTCTCTATCTCTCCATGAAGTCCATGAAAATGTCGTAAAGTTTACTAAGGATTTACTGTGGCACTGCTAGGCATGTTCTCGACAAAATATTTGGATTGTGCAGGTAGTGATGTTTCGATGAACCTCAGCTCGGAAACAGCGGTCCGTTGAAAATTTCGATATCCTAAGACTGCACTAATTTCTACTATAAACAAGTTTAGCAGTGCCATTGTATATCTTCGATGAATTTTACTGCAGTTTCATCGAGTTTATGGGAAAAATTGACTTTGAAAATATGAGGTAATCCCCCAGGGATCCCAGGGGACCACACACAGTGAATTAATCAGCTTGTATGGGAATGTCACGTCACCTATTATATTCGCATATTAGTGCGTGTGAAGAAAAAAAATAAGCAGATAACTAGATACGATGTATCCCCTCTCAGATCCTCTCCCCTACCCAGCGGGTATGTACGCGCATACGGGCCTTGAGGCCATCGCCAGGGTTGAGCTTAGGGTTAGGTGGTGTGCCCGACCTGGCGGGTCGCATTGGGGGGGTAAGACTGATGGGAGGAGGTCGTAATCAAGAACGACTTTGTTCACAAAATGGAGGGGATGCTACAATTAAGTGAGGTGAAAGAGAAGAGCGCTAGACCCGTTAATATCATTCCATTGAAGAGGGAATGACTGTCATTAATTGCTTAGTGATCAACTCCACTAACGAAGTCTCTGTCAACGGTAAGGTCACCAAAGAGGCTTTTTAAGTAAAGTAGGTGATTTCTGTAGTCAGCATGCCAAATTACCTATACGAGTTCTACAAGCCACCACTTATCACATTAGTGCTCCCTAACGTTTAGAAACCATGATTTTCAAACACCTGTAACCTGGTCGCAAAAGTAAAAAAAGCCTGCTTTCTTGTCAAAACAAGGTATTACTCTTTATCTGTCTATGGCAGAAATTAGATCTCCTATCGCTTCCAAAAAGTGGATCGAGAAGTGCTGCTAAATTTCAATGCAGCGTTTTCCATCTTGAGTGCTTCAACTTCACCGATCACCACAAACAAGTCCAAGTAGCTCAAACATCTAATATAAAATCTTTGAGGTTCGTGCTAGCGAATCACATAAAACCAAGGTGGAAAAGATTCTTCGGTGATAAAGTTAATTGGGCCGGGCGCAACCCCTCAAAAGCTCAGGCCGCCTGAGCTTTTGTAGCTTGGCGAATGACCCCTTAACATGTCTTCAAAATCCAGAAATCGCTCCATTCCTGGCACAAACATTGAGCTCATAGCTCCTCCTTGCTGCAGTGAAAATTTGTAGTCAAACAACCCAGCCTAAAGGAATTGTGATCCTTGCAATAAACACATTCAGATCAAAATCAACCGTCAAATTACGTGTGATTGTAAAGTGCAATTACGGAATCGGGCGTAAACAGTTCAAAAATCCAAAATCTGTAAAAAAAAGAATGGAATCCTTCAAAATATCGCTCTCTGAGGTTCCGGAGGTGAAAAGGAGGGAAAGGGTCGTTCAGAGGGGGGGGGGGGTTGGGCGTCGCTTTCGAACGGCTTGTGCCTGACCTCTTGCTCAACTCTGGTCATCGCTTGGGCTGCGCATACCTCGAGCGATATCACAAAGACACCTTGCCCGAAATGGCGACCAGAAGCTGATGAGCCACTTTGCCATTCATGGCATACCTCTGGCATATCATACCCTAACATAACGTCTAATCGTCACACAACACATCAAGCGCTGCACGAAGAATGCCCGATTTTTCCTTTTGATGCGGCATCCACTACTGTCTCCAAGACCCAAAATAGTCACACTGGTGGTAATTTATATCCGCACATATCTGGCAGATAAACGTGTATCTACTGCTCTGCTTTCTTTTTCGTTCTTCTTGTTATCATTAATGTATTAGGTTGTAAACTAAGTTTTGCCACTGCTTTCATAACTTTACTCTCATTGAACAAGGCCGCTCAAATTTTGGCTATATATACAACTGAACGTGTGCTACAATTGCGCACAAACTGTTTAATTTTTGAGAAAGACATAAAAAAATTACAAGCATTTTTCAAAAACCAGTGAATTTCGAGAATTTATGAGGTTATAAGCAAAAATGAAGCCGTTCGCAACTTAGATCATGCATGGCGATCCGAAATTGCATGTAATTTACTGATAAAGGTAAGATAACGCAAACTATTATAGGTTTTTGATTTTTCCATGGTCTTGACAGTTTTCATAAGAACAGTAGTCCGTGAGCTATTTTGTGCAAAAATCTCGTCAAATGTTCTGGTAAAACCTTGGCAAATTGACCATTTACGCAACCAATACTTGGAGCCGTTTTCGTAAAGTAATGGACTTTTGATCACTTTTTGGGCCTAAGTCTATGGCTTGCACATTTACTTGCCATAAACATCCACCACTCTGCAAAAAGTGGAATTACGGACCCACTTTTGTGGGTCAAATGCAAAGTGGATCCGTTTGACGCGCAATTTCTAAGAGACTCACTCAAAAAATCTGCTTGTGCTTTTGCATGTTGGACTTTCATGCCAGTAGCAAGTGCTATGCAAAATTTGAGCTCAGGACGTTGGCTGGAACATGCTCTACGAATTTCGTGACAGACAGACATTCAGACAGACACACACACACAAAAACCGTAAACACTCTTAGCGCATTAATATATAGAAAAGAATAATCCTCGAAGAATTCTGTGATTCTGTGACGTATTACCGTCTCTCATATCAGTCTCTTTGAAGACGACATCTGACGGTTGGAGCATATATCAAATTGTAATCATACATACTTTTTCCCTGCCGCGGAGGGTAGATATATTAATGTAGCAATTGTATGATTATTCGATAGAGCACAAGCTAATTTTTAGTTATTTATTGTATATACTGTCCACATCAGACATTCACAACTACAGTGGTATTTATTTATGATTAGACACTGAGAAAATGAGATTTGGCACGCTCTAGTGAGCTTCACCCACGTAGGTAATTCTAATTTCCTTTCAATATGCAATCATATATTTTTAACCTTTTACAAGCGCTAGTTTCCGAGAAATTCGAACTCAACCTCACATAAAAAGGCTACTTCGCATTTTGACTTTGCATAAGAGCGTATCTAGTGGACAGCTTATGCCTGATCAGGTTGGAAGCCTTTAGAATTTCTTGGACGGAGACCTGATTTTTGGTTTTTCAAATTTTTCTAAATATTTCTCAATATCTCTCTAATTCTTCACGTGTATCTGACTTTTTGCAATCGTCTGAAGCTGTATCGTATGAGTCTCTACATTTACCTATTTTGACGGTGGGATAGGGAAAGTGTAATATGAGATAATCTAGAGCTTCTGGGGGTTCGCGTAATTTTCAAAATATTTCAACTTGCACTTCTGGCGCAGTCAAGAACCTATCTTATTGCAGAGAAACCAGTCCACCGGAGACTCCCCCTTCTCTCTGTTTAAGGCTCCGTTATGTGTTCACTAATTCAGCTGTAACTTTGGCCACAAACCCATCCCAGCGCTGATTATAGGCTACTTTTTTCGAATATCGCTAGGTCCTTCTATTGATTCATAGATTTACTACGTATTTCCGAGAATATGGAAGCTTATCATGTTCTGACCAAGATTTTCCCATAGTTGTGAACAGTGGCTTTGAAGTACGTTACAGATCACAGGATTGTGTTGTATCAAAGTGGTCTGTCGCGAGATAAGTTATCATAACATGGAATAAGGGAGCGTGTCTCGCAGTGCATTAGCTATGCTGGCGACGAAACTGCATCTAGTCCCTCGGCAGAGAACAATTGCCTGGTCTGGACCAGGAAAGCCAGCTCGTAATTTGTGAAATTCCATTCAGTGTTTCATGTTTGTTGAAAAAGAGGTAACTAAGAAGGGCACAAAGGTAGGTGTGAGTTCTTGTCAAGTGTCAGTGGATCTGAGTGTCTATAAATCATAATTCATGACACCTTTACAATAATGACAGTTTTTCTATGGAAGTCTAGCACGAGAGGTTATCAAAAGAAAATTCCAAATTAACTGTATTGCGGCACCTATGACACAAAGGGCTCCAAAGTCAAAAGTTTTGCACTGAAGTGTGTAAAGCTCAACTATTCTTTCACAGATTTAGAGAGAGTCAAGTCAAATGCGGTGGTCTTGGAAGTGGAAGGATTAAAAGCGCTAACACCAATTAGCGAGAACTGCTACATTATCGTAAGCTTACAATCGCGTCTAAAAAAGTTGTGTATTGACTGGAGTGAGACGTACTCAGATACATTGACAGAATACAAAAAGTGCTTTGTGTGTGACGCTCTGAGATATCTTTCAAATTGTCTCTTGCTTTCGAATAATATGAAAATTATTAGCACTTGAACCAAATGAGATTACTTGAAAACTTTTCCGATACTTCCAAGGTAAGACAACATTCCAATCAATGTGATGGAATGACTTTATTTTGCCTTTGACGTAAAGAAAAGGTGGTCAATAAAAATTTGATGCATGGAAGAAAAAAAAACTCTGCAAACAAGCCAACCACAGTCTTTCGGGTTATCGGTATATCAAAAACTTACAATGCACTTCTTGGATTGCCCAAAGTAAGGCGATATGAAGTACCGAAGATATCATCTGCACCACTCATAATCTGGGGACCTGAAACATTGCCAACGTAATCGACCTCAAACTTATCAGTGGAGATTTACACTTCACCTTTGACTCAAGGAGAAGCTAATGGTATCGAAACTAGGTTGGTAGGAAACTTACTCCCGCAGAAAGTAAATGAAGCGTCGTCGAATGAGCTTTGCAGTACTGATAAGCAAAAGCCTCTAAGGTTTTTGCCGCAGAAATGCTGATAGCAGAAAACGGAGTCATGATTCACAAGTTCAAAAAAACTCGTGATTTCATAACGGCTAGAATTGAGCTGTATTGCAAGAAGAGCGAGTGATAAAAAGGAGCAATTCAAATACGTAAGCGATTCAAGCTGACCGATTCCCTCTTCCCCTCATGTTTGGCGTTTTATCAATAAACATGTCGCTACCGCTTTCATGGTTTTATCTGTTTTGTATTTTTTTTGCAAGTTTGCGTGCATATCTTTTAATTCAGAGTTCTCATTTCGACTCGATGATATATTAGGTTTAGTCATAAGTTTGTACCATATCAGCTCACATTTCGAAAAAAACCGCATTCTTTTTACTTCCTAGGTTACGACACATCATTCGATAGCTAACCCAACTCAGAATATTAAATATTCGAGTTGGGTTAGCTATAAATACTCTAAACTAAATATTTAGAGCAGCTTTATTATAACAAATAAATCCACATACCCGAAAAATTAAGAATATCATAATTTCGTCCAAAATATCCCATGAAATTTTTTACTGAATCAAGCATATAAATCCTACATAAGACTTTCATGTACACAGTCGCTGTATTTTTTCTCCGCTGGAAGTCGAGAAACTGAGTATTCTCCGCACTTGTCAAAGCAATGCTGAGCTTCTCCCACGATAGCAAATGTAAAACAAATGTATTCTACAAGCCTTCAGAAGTAAAACTGTGACTTTTACCGTTTAGAAGAGCTCATCTTCAAGAAGTTTTGAACTTGCTTACCCATTGAGGTTTCTTAAACAAAATGCAGTATTCTCGAACTAGCTGGTGTGAAAAAGCATCACGCTTTACAAGCATACTGACGGTACCAAGGCCTAGCACTAATCCTGCGTGTACAAGCCAGAAAATAACGCTGACTTAGGGTGCCTTCATGCCGTGCCGGCAGCCGCCGCTAGCAGCTCGGAGCAGCCCGTAGCAGCCGCCAGCAGCCCGTAGCAGCCCGTAGCAGCCGCCAGCAGCCCGTTGCAGCCGCCAGCGGTCCGTAGCAGCCGACAGCAGCCGCTAGCAGCCCGTACCAGCCCGTAGCAGCCGCCAGCAGCCCGTAGCAGCCCGTAGCAGCCGCATGCAGCCACCAGCGGCCCGTAGCAGTCCACAGTAGCCGCTAACAGCCCGTACCAGCCCGTAGCAGCCGCCAGCAGCCCTTAGCCGCTGCTGGCCGCTTTTGTCATACAAGCGCAAAATCACCAAATTCTTACCATTTTGAGTGCAACCGCCCACGCCCTTCATCCTCCACGCTTTTTCCTTCCTGTTGCCGCAATTTGTCTCATATATCATCATACTTGTGCCCATTGTTGTTATTATCTTGTTACCGTAGACTGGTTATCCTATTGATGCCAGTTTCCCTCTCGCAGTTGAACCACATTTCTCCATAGCTTCTTTGCAATGTGATTTCTTCTGACTTTGGATGCATCCAGTTTCTGCAGGTTGCTATTTATTAATTTTTTGGGTATGTTCTGCTTCAATCATATCACATCGGTGTGCAAGATGGACAGTATGGGCAGGCACGCAAAGAACTAAGAATTTGGTGATTTGCGCTTTTATGACAAAAGCGGCCAGCGGCGGCTAAAGGCTGCTGGCGGCTGCTACGGGCTGCTGGCGGCTGCAGGCGACTGCTACGGGCTGCCGCGGGCTGCCAGCGGCTTCTACGGGCTACCAGCGGCGGCTGCCGGCGCAGTATGAAGGCACCCTTAGGTAAGGAAAATCTCCTATACAGAAGCGAACTTCCTTAAATTTTGATTTCATGTAGTTGGAAAAGGTGTACAAGGAACTTAATCCATGCACGCAGATATATGAAAATCTGCGCAAATGAGTACTGCCTCATATAACCATTTTGAGTGATCGAAGTCACGAAAATCCACTTATACCATCTTTACGTAAAGTCACATATTTCTCTTTGCAGGTTGCTCCACTAAATTCAATGAGTACAGAAGTGAGGACCGACGATTCCGCTTTCGTTGCCGGTTTTCGCCCCACGGAGTTGATTGCATCCGTATGCTTATAAAGCGAGTCGTAAATATGAGCCGTAAAAAACAGAGCTTAGCGTCTTATCAAAGAAAGTGCTTTTTGGTCAACTGGGCTTTTCTAAGAAAATTTATACCACTATGAAGAACTTTGTTTCTATTATCTTGAAGGTTTTTGAAGCGGGAAAAACGAGCAGAATCTAGATGAAAACAATCGTTAGACCTAAGGCAGCCTCACGCGAATCAGTGTCGCAAATTGTGTGCGATGTGTTACTGCAACGACTAATCATAACTGATTTTCGCTTTGCATAGGCCAAACTTAATGCTTTTGCAACAGCTTACAAAAGCCATAAGTCTGTGCATTTGCATCCGCGTACGCTTAACCTGTAGACATCTAGCAGATCGCCGAGTCCCGTGGATGTAGCGATTTGACGAAATCACGTAAATTCACGCCTCGCGGTCTCTCCAGCGCTCAAATAGAGCGGTGTTGACTAGTGTATCACAGAATGGGCATCCGTTGCTTAAAGTACGTCATCACGACATTAGACCATATGAGCGATTCTGAAGCATTTTGTCATAGTTGCGTGTTCAGTTTCTGTCCCGATGAAGCTCCTGACTTGGCGTTCAGAGGCGTTCAGCAGCTAACGAAAGCAGTCCCAATCAACGTTCGAAGCTCTGAAGTCCTTTAGAGCTTGTCCAAAACGCCACTTTAATCAATAACACTTCCGTAACCTGGTGAAATCAGAAATTTTCCTCTCGCTCTGATGTATTCAAATTTTAAGACCTTCTCTATGCACTCTCCTTCCTTACCTTTCTTCTTCCAGGTTCAATCGCCATTCGGTTCGAGTTACCGAGATATACTTCTGTTAATCTCGCAGTGTAAGTCATAAATAAGGAAAGATTTACTTCATAATTGAAGAGAAACTACCTGATTTAGAACTGAGCTTCGGTCCAGAACATCGCAAAGTTTTGCGCACATGTTTAAATGTTCAACTCTGCTTCGCACAAAAATGCTTGTCTACAAACTTGTTAAATTTTACTCAATAATGTTGAATAAACAAGAAAAATGCACTAAAAATGTGTGCATTGATATTCAAGTGCCCTCCGGGACATTTGTTCCATTATATCCAAGAAAAACGCGCTCATTGTTTCGCAGTCCTCCGATGCCTTCTTAAATTCGTAAGTTCATGGGAAAAATCATCAAAATTGAAGCGAACTTACACAAAAATTTTGTGCATGTTGTATTGCACCGTTGACATTACGAATATAGGAACACAGCTCGCTAATTTCCGACGCATTCAAGGTGGAGCTAAGAATTAGTAAGACAAAAAGAAGAAACATGACACTTTTTACAGCGCCTTCCTCTTTTTAGGATGTTGTCGCATCATTTGCATGTAGGTGATATGTCGTAAAATTGCAATGCAGCATTACACAGCTAATCAACGTATGCTGAATTAAAAGTATCGTTCAAACGTAACAAACCTTTTTGAGATGTCCTACACTAACCAGAGCTCAGCACAAGGGTCGCACGTACCGGCAGAAAGATATCGCCTCGCCACTATCGAAATCACGACTTCCCACTTGATCCCACCAACTGCGTAGGCGTTCGATTGGAGCTCGCTTTCTTCCTGAAAAAGAGCGGCGTCGTTGCTATTCCGGATCCTACAGGGAGGAGAGGAGGAGTTTTGGAACCAAAATGATACTATACACTGAACTTTGGGTGTAGAACAGATTTATTTATGAATGCTAAAAAATGTGAGATGGAAGTTTTGCCTACTACTCAGACAATCGCTGGGGGCAGGCGGGCACCGGAAAAATAGATTGCTGATTTCTTGCATCCCGCTCGCAGATTTTTTGCAAAGCAATCAGGACTTTTCGGAAGACCGCTTGCTGAGTCAGCGGATTTTTGAGAGACCGCCTGTTGAATTTTTTTCGCTCTTATCTTTTGCAGATATATTGCTGAATCTCTGAGGAATCGAGAACTCAGCAAGTGGTCTTCCGAAAAGTCCTGATTGCTTTCCAAAAAATCCGCAAGCGGGGTGCGAGAGATCAGCAATCTATTTTTCCGGTGCCCGCCTGCCCCCGGCGATTGTCTGAGTAGGTGGCATTAGGTGGGCAATTGCCCACCTAGTTCGGAAAATGTTGACCACGCTCTTTATGCACATTGATATTATACAATTTTCCACACTTTGTTCTTTAGTCCTATCTTGCGTACACATAAAAATTCGTGCCATATCGTCATCTGGCGTTGCAATAGAGCCATTTTACCATTTTGTAGTGGGAAATTCTCAAAAAAGCGTGTCACAACCTTTAGTTGTATAATTTTTCTACAATACTCTGCACTATGCTCTTCCTAATCCATGTTTGTTCATAATCTCAGTTATTATCAGGGTTGAGCAAGAGTTCAGGCACAAGTCTTTCCAAAACGACCCCCCCCCCCCCTGGAAAGCCCCTAAACGACCCCTCTGCTTCACCTCCAGGACCTTAGGCTGTGATAATTCGAAGAGATCAGCCGTTTTTGGGAGGTTCTTGTTTTTTGGAGGTCTGTAGGTCGACTTTCTGCGATTGCACAGCACACGCAACTTGACGGCTAGTTTTGGATTTTGGATAGCCCTACTTTTAGAGCTATAATTCCCACAGGGGTGTATTGTTTGGCTCCAAATTTGCAGTATTGCAAGAGGAGGCTTTGAGTTCAATACTCATAGCAGAAATGGAGCGATTTTTAGATTTTGCAAACAAGTTAATCGGGTCAGGCGCAACCCCTCAAAAGCTCAGGCGGCCTGACCTTTTGTGGGGTTGCGCCTGACCCGATTAACTTTACCATTGAAGAAGCTTTTTTATTCAAGTTTTATGTGAATCGCTCGCACAAACCTCGAATATTCCATAGTAAGTGTTTGGACTTGATTCGACTTGTTTCGGCCTTGTGGTAATCCGTGGAGTTGAAGCAGTCATGGCGAAAAACGCGCCGGTCGGAATTTTGGCATTATTTCTTACTCCACTATTTGCAAGCGATACAAAGCGCGATTTTTAGCATAGACTAGTAGGGAACAATACTTTGTTACGAGTACAAAAAAATTGACTTTTCTCACTTTTGAAAACAAGTTAATCATGTTTGAAAATCACGCTTTTTAGTCGTTGAGAAACACTAGATAATGCAGTAAATAATGGTTTGTAGGGCTCATAGAGGTAATTTGACGTGCTCGGAAATGATACCCATTCCACCCAGCAAGCTTCCTTGATGAATTTATAATATGTCAAGGTAGAAGATGAAGATTTGAGTTTTGGCCGAAACTTCGATTGTGGAATCAATCAGTATGCTGTTTAAGACCGTTCATTCCTTCAGTACTGGTGAGGTCGCGATATCCACTAAACTAGGCTTTTCTTCTTCACCTTAATCGTAGTATCTCCTCAATCGAATGAATTCGATTCCTAATCACGACCCCCCCCCCTCTGTCTTACCCCAGTACGACCCCCCAGGTCGGGCGCGCCTGACCCCACGCTCAACCCTGGTTATTATTCATATCGTTATGTATGCGCCCTAGAGGCGTTTGAATACGACCCATAGTAAAGCTCGGTCAGGAGAGATGATCTCCCCTGAGGCCCTTATGTGAGGTTCCGCCAGGTGAAATGACGACCGCCCACTTCCCCATGCTATAAGAATGCACGTCACCTGACATGTGAGCCTCAGCTCAGGTTCGGCAGGGAGATGATCTCTCTGCCGAGTCATCGGAGATAATCCGAGCGATGATCTCCCGAAATAGTGTGCTAATGAGGAGATTCAAAGAGAACATCCGTAAGTTACTCTTTAGTAATTTACGATACGCGTCAGTTCAACATGTCGAACATACTTAGTGAGGAGCCACAGTGCAGGCTGACGATTTTCGACAAGATCTAACAAGTGCGGCCACATCTCCGTCGCTCGTACCAATCACAAAGATGTGAATGTTTGGCGGACGGATTTTTACTTGTATACTTGCATGAACGTGGCGTACTCGCTCGTATCAATGTGAATGATTGCGACCATCAATAAATGACTCAAATGAGGCAGAGCTGACTCGTCGAAGCCTCATCTGAAGCTTTCCTCAGTTGAGATCGAATGAGGCAGCTTTACTACAAGCCTACATCTCAGTGAAATTGGTTTTTGAAGATGACGCGTGAACAAGATCGTGTTTTTGCATGTCAGTTCGTGTAGCAACTTGTCAAGAAAGTTAGATACATGTAAACGCATATTTACGACATCTCCTTTGCTTTCCATCCAAACGATTCCAGCTTGACATTTGCTCATCTCGTTCCGGGCCTCGACGCCAACGTTATAATTATACAGTCCCTCTTATCCATAGTTCATGTAGTGCACTAAATCGAAGAGGAGGAAAAAGTGGAGAAATGTCAAGCAATGCGAAAGGGAAATCCTGAAGGAGGGCTGGCCAAGAAGAACCACTGAAAATCATTCTCTCTTGCAGCAGCAACAAAGATCAGAGGATGATTTGCAACTTCAAGAGAGCAGTCTGTCGTTTATATAGGAAATTAAACGAGATTCTGCCGGCGCGACTCTATTAAGCAAAAGTTTGGCCATTTTGATGTTGGAAACATATAAAATCAAATGGTAATACAAAAACTCTACTTTGTGAGCTATAGCACAAACTTACCATTTTGGCTATGACAAAGAATAAAAACAAATAAGTAAATAGTAAATACTCGAGTGACAAAGAGTGTCCGAGCGAAAGCGAAGTTCAAACGGTAAGGGCCGGATGCACAAACACTCCCAGCAGGAAGAGGATGCAGCGTGAGGGAAAGCTTCAATTTTTGAAGCCTCAAAGATTTGGATTTTACGCTGTCTATCGGATCCCAAGTGTTTCCACTACCTTTTATTATATGTCTTGAGACAGGAGCTGTTGCTTGAGGCGTTTCCAACTTCTTCTTAGACCCCGACGGTACGCGGAGGCTAACCCTCTTTTGAGTCATTTTTATTTCTTTAGGGGTGGAGACATAGCGAAAGTGCAACACTCAACAGTGCTAAGCGTATGTCTGATAAGAAGAATCTGTCATTGAGATATTGAATTCAGCAAACTCAAGTGTCGACCATTGATTCATCAAGGCCATCGATACAACATTTGTGTTCATCAGAGAAACTCGATACTGCTGAATCAGATTTAGCACAACTTTGGATGTTTTATCAACTTCAAAGTAAGAAAAATAACTTTAGAGAAAGAGGTCGGCCGCCAGGGATTATCTAGGATCATACAAAGAACTAGAAAATAAACAACTAAGCATTTCTGTTCAATATGTATATAGGAAAGGGAAAGGTAGAAACACTTGATAGGTAGACAGGGTGGAATCTAGAGGTCCAGAGTTTAGGGACATAAAGATTTCTCTTAAAGTGCATGCCCTTCGCGGAGGAACTTTGAAGCTACGGCGCTACGGGCAATATGCATGAAAGTCCTTGCGGCGAGGAAGAGGCGCCTTCAGTTAAAGGCAGCGTCCGCTCAAAATTTTGCTTCCATATTTTTACCATTCCGGGGCTTTCCGTGGCCCTGTACAGTTATGAACTTCAAATAGTCCAAAACCTCCAAAAAATTTGATTCCTGAGAAACTGTCTTGAGGGCGCGGGCGACTTTCAGTACATGGGTGGGCGGAGTCTGATAGGATCTGGGCGAGGCCTGATAGCGCTTTTGCTGTCCCAGGCCCTTTATATCCATTCAGAGACAACATTAGAGGACCGAACCGAAAAAATGGGACACCTAGAGAATAAATGTAGATCTCTCAAAAAAGAAAAATGATTAAACTTCCCAATTTTGATAGATGTTAGAATAGATTATTCTCTTTCAGAAAATACCTATATAAGGTCATTTACATAACTAATAATTTTTATAGTGGCTGGAATGCAAAGTTAGTCACTTTGACAAATTATAAACTTCGAGCAGTATCTGCGCAGTGAAACATGCGAAGCCATATAAAGTACCACTGCTGCAATGCGTGAAGGTACAGTCCCAGACCCACGATGGGTTGCTGGTGTAAACTTTCAAATTCCGGAGATATGGCCATTAGCAGCTTTGAAAACAAAGATACGTACCATTCAATGCTTTGCAGGTGAACGCATGTTCTATAGGTACCATCTGAAAGGGCTTTTTACGCTCTATCCATTCATATGCAATATACCTCACATTTTATCTATCTTCGGAAAATACAGATTAAAACTTGATTTACTGATTTTTGTTGCGCCAAAAAATCGCGATTTTCCAGGTATTTCGCTTTTTTTACCCAGAAATAGGAAGAAACTCTGTATGTTTCATATACTTTTTGAAAGAGCATGAACAGCTCTTTCGAATGATGTATCAATTGCT